TGCCTTTCCGATCTGATATGTGATGTGAAAAGGGAGAAGAACGAGCTCAGCTAAAGGTAGATTCGAACTTGGGTCGATCGCATCAAAATTTTTTATTTTTTTGTGTGATGTTGTCTAGCACAACCACACATTGGTGGGCGGAGTTAGTGTAAATAGCCTTTGCAAACATAGTGGGCTATTTGCACTTAGTTTAAATAGACACTCCGTTTTTTCCATGCCTACCATATCAGCAACACCTCCAATTGGGTCTTGGCTTTTGAGCCACCTATAATTAATTGGTAACCTTTGCAGTTACGTGATCCAGTCACATTTTTCAATGAGTCACAATGAGTAGTCAGTAATGCAGCATGTACTTTTTTAAATAAATAGCTTGTGTTACTTTTTGTTACTTTATTTACTATTTATTTGAAATCTTCTCCGTTCCTCATGTTGAGAGAAATAGAGGCATATGTAGTTGTGCCTGCACCATAGTAGTTGTAATATGTAAGCATTATGGGTATTGCATTTTGTGTGTGTCATGCTTATCAGTCACATACAGAGTGAGTATCTGTCTTTCCAGTCCAACCTGAGATTTGTAATGAATTCAAGCACTTAAGTGTCATCCATTTGGTCATTATATATAGTGGACAAAAATAAGAGCACTGGCCACTATAAAAATTGCTGTTGTCATGACAAGTGGCACATCTACCTTTTTCTCGGTCCACTCTCGTTCGACAGGAACAGTGTAATGTGCCCTGTGGTCCATCTCTGTGCACAGCACACACACTATGGTCTGATCCTTCTTACAAAACAGCTCTAGTAACCTCTCATGCTTCTTACACATACAGTCCTCCAGGTTCTGCACGGGTTCGATCAGCTTGTGTTTGGTGAAGCGGGAAGTGTGGGTCTTTAAGTGCTCCTCACAGTAAGACGTCAAACAAACCAAGCAGGACTTTACTGCCTGTCGCTGAGGGCCAGTGCACACGTCGCAGGACACCTCTTGGGCCCATGGTCCATTAGCAGGTATCAGTTTAGGCATTTCTGTGGGGAGTTCCACAGGGCTCTGTCCTGGGTTCAGTTGCGTTATCTTCTGAAGTTTCGCAACTGCGTTTGTTCTAATTTCCTTAAACTGTTCAGAGATTTCCCTCAGCACTGTGTTGATGCTGATGTCGGGCTGCTTGAAGAAAGTCTTTTTGCACATCGGACACATAATACGGGCACTGGACTTCCAGTAGCTGCCAATGCATGCCATGCAGAAGTTGTGTCCACAAGGGATAGAGACAGGGTTGGTAAACACATCCAGACAGATGGCACAGTGCACCTGCTCCTCCGCTAACATGCTGGTGGGAGATGCCATTCCTGCATAGACAGAGGGAGAATCATGTGCCCTCCAAACAGATGCAGACTTCCAACTTTGAATAAAAATAATCTTTACAATGTATAGAAAGCATCGAGAGTTATATATACAAGCAGAGACTGTCCAAACTTAGTGTGACAGTTTGA